TATTACATTGGGTGTTTTCCTTATATTTTCAAAGGATACAATGCTCATTAAAATGGTGATAAAAATGACATAACGGAGGATCTAATGTGAAATCAGTAACATAAGCTTGTTTTGGTGACAAACATCCCTCCCCTCAGATGGTCAGAGTTTTAGATACTCACATGATAGTTTTTTTACTCTATCTTAGCCAAGTTATTTTCAGATTCTAAACCTGTCTAAATTAAACTGCTGGTAAGAGTTTAGTTAAATTACAAAATATCAATGTGAGAAAACAGGTTGAGATACACTATTTTTGCTGACATTCTAAATGGGTCACTGTAACAGGTCATACACTATGAATTCATACATTTGTGCATGTTTACACTTTGATAACCATAGCCATGTGTTTGAACTAAAATGTCCTTAATTATCAGCAAATGCTTTTGAATATCAAATGTGAATTCCACAATTTTACAACAGCTCAGCTTTGTGATAAATTTGATGTGATTTTGGAGGCAAAAAAGAAACTCAATTTATTATACTGATTTCTTAGATTTAGATTAGATTTCTTAGATTTCTCTCTTTCAGTATATCTTGAGCAATACTTATTTTCAGTAACTGTTTTTCTTACTCTCTTGCTTAAAATTAAAACCCTTCAATGACCTCCTTTGCCTCAGAAAGGCTCTTAAACTATGGAAAGGTATCCTTGGGGATGGCATGCAGGTGTGGTAGAGGAAGCCAGAGGGTAATAAACAAGATGCATCTGCTCATATGCTCAAATTACTAAAATATCTAGAAGAAAAGAAATTAATAAAATAATTGAAGTATTTTACAGTAAAATATTACAAAACAAATGATAAAATCTGTGGTATTTTTTAAGTTTACAGTTGACCCTTGAACAAGGGGGTTAGAGGCACCAACCCATCTCATAGCCGAAAATCCACGTATAACTTTATAGGTGGCCCCCCGCATCCATGGTTTTGCATCCTCAGATTCAACCAACTGTAGACCATGTACTATTGCAGTATGTATTTATGGAAAAAAGAAACCCCGCATGTAAGTTCAAACCCATGTTGTTCGGGGTTCCACTGTACATTAGATAAATGTAAAGGAAAAGCTTCTGAGCCAGAGCATAGCCCTTATCTCTTTTCTAGAGGGAGATGTTCTTTCCAGTTCCTGGCATAGTTATGAGTTAAGAAATAAATTTGCTAATCCAACTATACAACTAAAAGGGAATAATACATAGCTAATAACAGTAGTTATCACTGGATGGTAAAAATGTGACTTTTAAATAGAATTTTTTGCCTTTTTTGAGGTTTCTATGCCTATACTACTTTAATACCAGGAAAAATTAAAACAAACTTCTTTTTAAACAGAAAAATCCTTTTTAGATCTGAAAGTCAGTTTCATTGGGCTATTAAATATCCATAACTATAAAATAAACCAAGTTTGTTTTTCTTTACATAGTTTATTAATATAGCTTCAAAATTAAAATATATTTATCTACTCTTTTTCTTATACTTACCTTTTGTGGTTTGGCAGGCTAGAAGACTGGGGAAATGACAATAAAACTGTTCAACAAAGAATTCAAGAAGTGATTCTTGAATTCCTTTTCAATATTCCTTTGAGGACACAGAGTAGATTGCTCCCTTTAAGCTGATTTTAAAATTATCTGATTTTTGAAATTACCTGTTCAGTTCTTCTCGTGATAGTTAATTTTTCAATATCACTTCTAAAATTCTGAACCCACAGGATTTCCATTTACAGATTTCCAAAGGAGGTGAATACATGTTGTCAAGTCTGCTCCAAATAATTGTTTTTATTTTTCAAGGATCTCTTTCCTTTTCAAAAAACAAATTTTCCCCCAGTCACAAAAATCATACATGCTTATTTATAATCAAGAATAAGAATTATCTCATACCCATAGTAAACCAGTAATAACAACAGTTTAGCATATGTATTCTTCTAATGAGTCTGTTCACACTATTTGGTAATACTTTTTCACTTAATCATGAACAACTTTCTAGCTCATTAAATATTCATTACATCATTTAAAATAGCTGCACAGTATTCCACTCAGCATGTTATTTAATCAGCCTTTTATTATCAGACACTTTGAAAACTTCTGGTCTTTTAATATGATAAACAACACTATAATAAACACATGGATTACTTCTTAAATGAGTATATTTATTAATAGCTTTTACAATATTAGAAAATTGAAATAAAGAATCTATTATTCTTTCAATGTGCTAAAATCCTAGAAATATAACTGGTCCACATTCCATCACATGTGAGACATATATATATTGTTATATACAACTGAGAAAATATCAACTATATCACTTTTCAGCATAAAATCAATTATTTGAACTTTGGGACCTTATATTTAAGCTGATGTTTTGAAGTTCTAGATATCTTAGTCCACCTGCTTTTCATTTTGTTTCTTAAACTTTAAATTTTTCTTCATATTATGAATACATTTAAAAGGTTAATACAAATGAGTAAATGAGGTACAATTAATGATTCAAATGTTATGTTCCTCAGGTGTGTTAAGTGAGAGAAAAAGGTTAAGAGCTACAGATATAAACTGTCATTATATGGGAAGGAGGGATAATGCTAGACTGTTAAAGTCAGGAAACAACCCACAAGAGGTATGACCCACTTTTTAAAAATGTATAGGAATTAGAGAATTGGGGTGGTAAAATGGCATAACCAAGATACAGAGATAAAATAACAGATGGAGGACTAATCTGCTTGAGGAAAAATGGAACAACTTAAGAAGGTTAGGGCAAGACCATGATGTACAAGTTAAGAAGCTTGAATTTTATCCTATAAGCAAAAGCAGTGTTTTAGGAAGATTAAATTAGTGGGATATACTATAGTGGATAAAACAATTACACACAAAGAACTCCTCAGCTAAAATGCTAAGAGAATAGGAGTAGGTGAGAAATATGGCAATAATTTTAAGAATGGAGAAGTCAAAGATGATGTTCGTTCAAGTAAATGACAAACATGAACAAGTTTAGAGTGTCTCTTGGAACTATTAGCTTTAACTAGCTAAACTAAGCAAATGAAAAACAATTTCAGAGCCATCAATGCACAATTTGTAAAAACCTGATCATAACACATATTAACCAACCATTTAAACATTTTGTTTATGTTGTAAATGGTCTCAGCCAGAGGTTCTAACCTTGTGTCAGATCCATAAAAATATTCTGTTCTGTCTATACAGGTCAAATAGGCTGAGGCATATACAATTGTCAAGGTTCTCTTAAAGAAGTATGGAAAATTAAACTTGTGGATTAAGCTAAAAGCTTAAATAGACATAAGATCTGGCCCTTATAAACTTTGATACTTGAGCTATGATTCTCCCTTCTTGTACACTTGATCATAGCCACCCAGACCTCCTTGCTGCAATTTTTGGTACACACCAAAAATGTTTCAGCCTCAAGGTCTTTGTAGTTGTTATTTCAGTTACCTGAAAGGCTCTTCTCCTAGATACCTAATGGTTTGGTCCCTTACCATTGTTTGTCTTTGTTCAAATGTCATCTCTGTAAGGCATTTTCTGACTACATTATTTAAAAAATATATCTGCCTGCTTTCCAAACACCTTTTTCCCATTCCTACCTCCCTTGCTTTATTTTCCTTCATCAAACTTACCACCATCTGACATACAACTAATAGCACCTATCAGTCTTTTGTCTATTCTATTACCCTCACCTCACTCCCAAGATTGTAAGCTCCATGAGGGCTGGAATTTATCTATTTTGTTCAGTGCTGACCATGAGTGACTATATAGTAGAATAAGAAATTTGTACCCCTCTATATATAAATGCTTCAAATCTATTTTTAATGTTCCTTGTTCTTTATATAAATGCTTCAAATAGCTTATCTGGCTATTTTTAATTAGCCAGATAAGATATTTATGGATATATAAAACAAATTAATATAAAATCTACACAGACTATGTTAAAATGTACAAATTCTCTTAAGAAATGATGTACTAGGGGGAGGGTATAGCTCAAGTGGTAGAGCACATGCTTAGCATACACAAGGCCCTGGGTTCAACCCCAGTACCTCCTCTAAAAATAAATAAATAAGTAAACCTAATCCCCCACCCCCCCGCAAAAAGAGAAATGATGCACCTAAACTTTCTCAAATTATAACTATGACACAACACTCTATTCTACTGCTTCATGCTAAAATGGTATTTTTAAACTGATCACATAGAAACTTAAAAAAAAATATCCTATAGTTTACTATCATATGTGTTCAAGTCTAAATGGCGGGTGTGGGGAGGGTATACTCAGTGGTAGAGTGCCTGCTTATCATGCATGAGGTCCTGGGTTCAATCCCCAGCACCTCTGTTAAAATTAATAAATGAATAAACCTAATTACTGCCCCCAAATTATAAAAAAAAATAGTCCAAAGAGAAGAAAAGGTTTAGTGGTACTACAAGAATTTATATCCCTGAAAATATTACTTCCATAAGTATAATAAGCATTCCAAAGATTATGAAATAATGAGATGTGGAAATAAGCAAACTCTGGAGTGATTTTAAAGTTTCTACCACTTCCTAAAGATATTCTTTAACAGAAAAACCCATGCTAAGTGGTTAAATTGTAAAACAAAGATGTACAGACTAACTTTAATAACAAGTTAATCAACTGAGGAAATCTTTAGTGTAAAAGTGGCTTAAAAATTTTTTTTCTCAGCACAATTTTTCAAACAAAATCTAATCCTATAGCATAAGATAAATGTAAACAATAACAAGATTCTCCAGGCAGTTTACATTTTTCTAAAACACAAAAGTCTAATAACACGAATATAATAAATATCAGATTATTCAAAATCCCACAGAATTAAGGGGGATGTGACTCATCAATATGCTAATCTAATGTATTTTTCATGAAGTTTTTGCATGAATTCCATGTATTAACAATCAAGAAATAGACCCAAATAGAAATTATAAATGAATTTAATTTCAGTATAATAAAGACAATAAAACAGCAACTAACTTGTCACCTTGCACAGTAATTTTAACATAAAAGGTTTAAACTTGTTTTGCCATTTTCTTCATTGGATATAGCCTAAAAAAAGAAGACATAAGAAATCTGTGGGATATACTTTATAAATAAACAAGGTAAGAACATAAACTCTTAAATTATAGTGGAGAAAACTAATTCTCCATTAAAGGTGTTCAATCTATTGTAATAAAACCTGTAAGAAATCCCTTGGTAAGAGGCAAGAAAATAAAAATGTTAGCTGGAAATGTACTGATGATGGTCTCTTATTTCTTCTCCCAGATATGCAAGTATTATGTCTAAATACTTACTAGAGCCAAAACTATCTCAAAAGTTTAGGGCATTAGTTTTTCTCCTTTTTGATAATATTCAATGAGAAATGACACTTAGAATAAAACCTTTTCCATGGATAAGGATTAGTAATATCCACCTGCAAAACGAAAAAAAAAGAACTGATTTAGAATGTCAACCCTTAAATATATACATTAATTTAGAGATTATAGTTCATTAAAGTATAATCCTGCTAATCCGATTATGGCTAACCTGGACATATATCAATAATCGTACTTGGTGGCTTAAAAACACCTCTAATTCTGTAACAATTAAAATGATATAAAACCAAAGAAAATCTTTACTGTTAAATATGGCATTTGGCCTATGACCAAATTTTCAAATCAACTATCACATATCAATATATGTGATCTTAAGAGATTTACATTTGAATATAGTATGAAAACTGAATTGTTGAACTATTAGAATAGCTCTCTCACTATCTCCTGGATACTTGCCTTTAGTCCTCTGAGTTAGCTCCAAACTCAATCCATACTCCAAGTAACAGATTTAAGATGCTCAATATTGGAATTATTTGGCATCAACTTAAAAAGAAACCTGAATGAAAAAGATTAGGATTTTTTTCCAAAGAAGATGGAAAAAATGAAAACTTAATTCACACTCATATGTAAGTATTTCATCTTCGCAAAATAAATGGCCAAATTAAGATTAACATTAAAGGGTATAACTTTCATTTTACTATCTGCTCTTTGGTGAAAGTATATTAACTCTTACAGGTAAAACTTCAAGTCCTATTGAGTTACCTAAATGTGTGTTTCATTAGGTATTGATAGGTTATTTCCTCTTCTCTAATAAGAGACTGAAAAGAAACTGCATACTATTATAATACATTTCAGTGTAACAGTTTTTCTATATTTTCTTACTCTCCAAATATTTCAATTTTTCTTTAATACATTCTCAAGATTAGAACAACAGAAGTTTTTATTTAGCTCCAAATGATCCTTTTCCACATTTGGAGCACCTACATATATTCACTTAGTAAATGTAAAAAGCAGGTTTTCTCTCTTGTCATTTAGGAGGTAGATTAGGCTAAATATAATTTTCTAAAATCTGACTTTAAATACATTAAGGAAAACAAAACAAAAAATAGCAATTCAATTTCTGGATTGTTCTGGAAAATACTGGACAAACTATGAAATTCATTCAATAAATATTTCTAAGCATCTATGTATTAGATCCCAAAATATTTTTAGTGGAACCAAAAATTATCATATATTTGTTACATTCTTTCATGAAATGGTTGAGATGAAATAAAGGAAACAGATTAAAAGCTTGAAGACTGATTTTTAAAAGCACCAAGGTAATATTATTTCCTTGCAAAAGCTGGCATTTAATTGTAGCCAATACTGTATATTACTTCCTTATTCTGGGAAAAAATTTTTCTGAAAAAAAGCTGTTCTTAAAAATGAGAGCTTTGTCTTATATATTTTCCTTACCTTCAAATTAGAACTTAAACAGAAGATTTTTGAATACAATGCCTTAAATTATATCGGAAATACTTTTAAAGTTTCCAAAACAGACTGTTATAATTGAAAATGATTCATTAAGAACTGCTTTTATTTTGTAGATTTTCTGCTTGGTTACATGAAAGGGGTAAGATATTCCTTGCAGGAATTAAGACCAGAAGTATGGTACACTACACAAACACACTCTTCTTATCCTGAACATCAATTTTTAGTTGAATAACTTAATAAAACACCAACAAATAAGGAATAGAAGGTAAAGAAAATATTTTCCTTCAAACTGTAATTAAATGGAAAATTTTGACTGTGTTGGCATCTATAAAATTAATGACTACCATAATAATTTTTGGTCTTACTCTACTTAAATATTAGATATTTAGAAAACAAATAAGGCTTCATATTTTTTACTTTACTTTCAAACAAAAATCTTTGGCTAAGGATTTAAAAAACATTTAAATAAAAACAAGAAAAAAACAATATGATAGTATAAACTTACAAGGCATAGAGTTAAGATCCTAATCTGCATGTGTAGCAAATTTCTTAATTTTAGTTTCTGTTTCCTGAGCTACTCAACCAATAGGCTGGTCACCTGTAAGGTCTTTCCTACCTTTAAAGTTATGATTAAGTGTATTCTGAGACACAGGACTTCAGAAATTTCAGGTTTTGATACTTTCCCTTATAAGAAAATATTTAGAAATATTACTAAAAATTATGTTCTAAGTTGTTTAAAATGTGTATTTTATAATGTATATTTACCTGTGAGATAAGAAAATTCTTTAAAGTAATTTCATTTTACTAGAGAAAGGAAAAATAAATACTTCTGTTCTATCTGAAGTAAAAATAAGTTTATTTGATGCTGTATGAGCTCTTCCAATAAACTCTTGATGGCATTCAATACAATTATTAACTTGCAATTACACTGCTTTAATAAACACAATACACTTAAAAGTTAGTATTAACTTATTTTTATAGAATCACACTAAAAATGACAAGATTATCAATAATACTGAAATTATCAATATAACTGAAAATACATTGGTAATACATATATTAAAATATGACTGTAGAGTATGGCCAACCTTACTTCAGCAGCACAGTTAATACTGGAGATAATTTTAGAATCTTAACGCCAATATTTACGTGCTGCTAAGGCACTGTTGACATTGCTATCATAAGAGCTATGAATAAAAAGAAATATATTTTCTTCAGAAGATCAGACCCTTGTATTTTTGAGGCAGCACAATATGGCCTGCACTTTTTCAAAATCCACAAACCATTATGTGCTGCTACTTTACTCCAAGGTTTTTATTTTTTAAACACACATTAGCACCTAAAGATACAAAAAAAATTTTTTTTAGAAAAAAAGAGGATAAATACATTAAAAACCCATGTTGAGAGTCTAACATTGACATAGTATGAATAATTAGTCATTTCTTGGAAACTTTTGTAGTATAATAAAACATTGTACACTGAAAATTTAAGAAAAGCCTATTATGTGCAAAGCATATTGCTATAGGTTAGAACACAAAGATGTATGACAAAAATAAAAGCATTTTTTTCGGTGTCATCTTTAGTCAATACAGTTAGGAATTTAATCAAACTTTTCAATGTATTAATATATATGAAATTATTTTTTCCTTTTATAAACAAAAAGTGAATTCATAAAATCTGGACTTTACCTTGGCAAAAGCATAATTTACAAACAGTATTTCACTCCTTGCAGTACACCATTCAAAAGACATCTTCATCAAGTAGGTAAGACTTCATGTCAAGGTAGAAACTAGAAATGAATATAAGAGCTCAGTTTCAATAAACTTAAGCTAGCAAAATGCAAATATACTTTTAAAGGAAAAAATTAGAAGTCACATGAAATATTTTACTACTAAGGTAAAAATATTCAGAAGACCTAAAACAAGCCAATTTTCTCTGAGATAATTTACATTAAAAAAACCCCAAAATTATTTTACCCTCACCATTAATCTATTGGAATAGTTATTCTGTTAGAGTTGGATATCACTTTGAAGTAATTTTAACATAGAAAGCCTTGGGAAAAATGAGTTAACTGTACCCAGAGATGAAAAATACAACAGGAACCCTGTGGCTCTTGATCGTCTTACTCTCTTCTTGTTCCCATTCTTCACAGGGTAAGGAAGTATACTCCTAAACAGTTTTCACATACTTAGATGTAGCAATGAGATTACTTCTCTCTCTAAAAGGTATCAGAAAACTACTACTACTCTAGTTCAAGTTTGGAAACCTCTTTTGCCCCAATTTTCTCATTGCTAAAATGGCTATGCTAAAGCTACAATATTTCTATTACAGAGTAATGTGATGTGCACCAAAGTTTGCCCCTCCCTTCTAACATCCAATTGCTTACACAAAGCTTAACTGTCACATATTCTACATTAATTTTTATGAATATTTTCCCATTAAAATGTAGCTAATTTCTTACTTGAACAACCAGTTTTGTGTATTACTCTTTTATTGGCTCAAGGGTCAGCACAATTTTTAATATATAAACAAAACAGATCTGTTCATAATGATTTGAGAAACACATAATACATATTTTTATTTATTAGTTAAATTACAGAACTGTCCTTTAGGCTATCCTGCCTGCTCAAGCTTACTTTCCAGACAAAAACCATACCCACTTTCCAGACAAAAATGTAAACATGACATTTTCAAATAATCTATATACATAAATGTTTTCATTTTAAAAATATTTTACTTAACACCTACTATGTGCCAAGCACTGTCCCAGTTGTTATGCTAGTTGGTACACCATTGTACCAAACAACATAATCCCTTCTCAGAATTTAAAATCATTTAAATTACAAAACACAAAATCATGAAACAAGTAATTCTTTAAGACTGCATATTGTTCTTTACCCAAGCACAGTAGACATATACATTAAATGATTATTCCAAAATCAAGTGATTATTTCAAAATCAGGAAGAATCAATTGGGTTATTTCAATTCCAATCCTTTTTCCCCTAAATTTATTATTTTAAACTAAGCCAAGTATGCCAAACTTGAAAGAAATAAATGTGAAGATTGCAAAATGCGAAGTTTTATAAACCTTAAAAAAAGAAACACTTCATAGTAAGAAAGTCTTCATTTCTTAGGTAGCAAATTTTGCAATTTTAGTGTATAGTTCTATGACATTAAGGCCATTCACAATGTTGCGCAACACCACGACTCATCTCCAGAACCTTTTCATCTACACCAATTGAAACTATACCCCCTAAACACTAACTGCCCTTTCCCCAATAACTGCAGCCCCTGGAAAACACCATTCTACTTTCTGTCGCTATGAATCTGCCTATTCTATGTACCTCGTACAAATGGAATCATACAGTATTTGACTTTTTATGTCTGGCTCATTTTACTTAGCGTAATTTTTTCAAGGTTCATCCAAGTCATTGTATGTATCAAACTTTCCTTTTTATGGCTGAGTGGTATTCAATTGTGTGTATATACTACATTTTGTTTATCCACTTCTCCATCTATGGACATTTATTTGTTTGATGTTTTGGTTATTACAATTAATGCTAAGAACATGGTATATAAATGCTTCTGAGTCCTCATTTCAATTGTTTTGGGTATATACCCTAAAGTGGTATCACTGGATCATACAGTAATTCTATTTTTTTGAGGCCTGTATTCCATAGTGGCTATGCAAAATTTCCAATTTCTCCACATCTTTGTAAACACTTGTTTTTTTTTTTGATAGTATCCATCTTAATGTGAGTGAAATAGTGTTTCATCGTGGTTTTGATTTTCATTTCCCTAATGATTAGTGATGTAGAGCATCTTTTCTTGTGTTTATACACTTGTATATCTTCTTTGGAGAAATATCTATTTAAGACTTTTACTCATTTTATACATAGGTTTTTTTTTGTTGTTATAGGAGTTCTTGGTATATTTTGGACATTAATCCCTTACCAGATACAAGATTTGCAAATCTTTTCTCCTATTTTGTAGGCTGCCTTTTCATTCTGTTGATAGAATCCTTTGATGCACAAGTTTTAAATTTTGAAGTTCAATTTATCTTGTTCTTGCCTGTGCTTTTGGTGTCATATCCAAGAAAGCCTTACTGTCATGAAGCTTTCCTCCTATGTTTTCTTCTAAGAGGTTTATCATTTTAGTTCTAACATTTAGGCCTTTGATCCATTTTAAGTTAATTTTTGTATACAGTATGAGGTAAATGTCCAACTTTTCTTTTGGATATCCAGTTTTCCCAACACCATTTGTTGAAAAGACTGTCCTTCCCCCATTTGAATGGTCTTGGTACATTAGTCAAAAATCATCTGAACATAAATTCAAGGTTTATTTCTGGGCCCTCTAGTTTATTCCACTTGGTCTATACGTCTGTCTTTCTGCCAATATCATGCTGTTTGATTACCAGAGCTTTGTATTAAGTTTTGAAATCCGAAAGTGTGAGAGGGTCAACATTGTTCTTCTTTTTCAAGATTGATTTGGCTATTCGGTGTCCCTTGAGATTCCACATGAATTTTAGGATATATTTTTCTCCTTCTAAAAAAAAAAAAAGTCATTGATATTGATAGTGATTGTATTGAATCTGCAGATCACTCTGGGTAGTAATCTTACCTTAACAACATTAAGACTCCCAATATATGAACATGGGATATCTTTCCATTTATTTGTATCTTCCTTAATCTCTTCTAGCAATGTTACATCATTTGCAGTATACAAGTCTTTCACCACTGTGGTTAATTTTACTCCAAAGCATTTTATTCTTTTTGATGCTACTTAAATGGAGTTGTTTTATTAATTTCTTTTTTGGATTGTTTGTTATTAGTGCCTAGAAATGCAACTGATTTCTGAGTGCTGATTTGTACCCTGCAACTTTGCTGAATTTGCTTATTAGTTACAAGGTTACAAGGTTTTTCTGTATATACATGCTATAGTTTCTCTCACCTTAATTTCATCTCTTAAAGATGATTAATTTCTGTGATATACTGCAACTTTACCACTGATGTTTTAATAAACACCCTTAGAGAAAGGTATTTTCCTATCAATTTTTATTTCTATTTTTAACTGAGATAATTAAAAATCACTGCTTTCTATTTGAAAACCTGACAAATTTAAAATATTAGAAAACATTTATTTCCACATGGCAGAAAAATAGGAAAATTCTTGACCTAAATGTATTAATAAACTTAAAGATCCCAGTGAAGTTATTATAGCCAGGTAGAGAAAGTACATCTCTCTTTACCTGTGTTCAACAGCAACAATAGTCTTAGGCTAGTAAACTTCGATTTTTCCTTTTCACTTATAAATTATCTTCTACTTTGGAGCTGCCAAAGTAGGTTTTTTATTATGTCGTCAAGAAGGGGTTATTTTAAATTCAAAATTTCTTTGAATTTATAGATTGTTTCCACTGTTATATGATAGGAATATTCGGATGCTAATACATGGCATGAAAATATTTCTACTGCTTTGTTGTTTAGATATATCCTTTATGCGTCACTAAATTAGATTTTTCAAATATTTAATTTTACTTTTAAATTGGCATCAACACAATTTATAATAGTTATTACTTTCTTCAAGTATGGTTCAAATAATGCATATAAACCTCTAAAGAGCTGGCTGTATACAGCTCCGGGGCCAGAGAGTGACTATCCTAGCATAGTACAGTGGAATACTACACAAGTGGTATGATATGTACATGTTATACTTGGAGAAAATGAAAAATTAGAACATTCTTTAATACCTTTAAGCAAAGGCCTAAATTGTGGGGGTCTAACTAAACTTTAACAATTTCACTAAACATGGTGATTTTTTTCATTTAAAGAAATTGAAAGTTTTAGGACATGTCCATATACAAAAAATTCACAGGCAACAGATTAAAATTTGCTTTTCTTTTACTTATTTTTTGGATACAAATGCTTAGAAACAAACATTTTTATTAACTAGATAAGATACATTTAAAATTCAGTGTTGAGAACAGGCTTGAAATAATATTAAGGTATAACCCAAAAAACTTATTAGTTTTTGAGTTTAAGCAATATAAAATTGTACCATTTTGACACTCCCTTGAATTTTTCTGAAGAAATTAATGACTGATTACTTAGAAACTTTGTGTGAAGTGGATTTCAATCCAGACAATTTATTCCAGAAAAGTCAGATGTGTGTGTGTCACACACTTCCCTCCAAAATGTTATTTTATTATTAGATTTTCTAACCATAGCTTCCTTATATACAAAGTTAAACTACTTAGAAGCTAAACATTTATATTTCTTGAGCTTTTAATTTTTGATGACTTTACTCCCTAGATATGACTAAATCACAAATGTATCATAATGTCAGCCAAGAAATACAAAAGGTTTGATAAGAACATAGACATGCTATTTATATTAATTTTTTTCTTCTTAGACACATTTTTCTTTTGAATTCAAATTACAGATACTTGCCCACTGCTATTCTCTTTACACTAATTTTCACCTTGTGTCAATCATTCCTTGTATTCAGTTAGTCAATAAGACCAACTGATCTTTTCTTTGAGATCTCAGTTCATCAATTTCTTTGCCATTCTTAATTTCATACCTTAAAATTAGGTCTAAGTACCTTATACCTACAATTGCATTTCAGCTTGACTTTCTATCTTTAGTCACTTAACAAAACTTCCTAAAGAATGTATCTGTAGTTAAGAATATATCTGTAGTTTCCCAAGTGGAGTCTGTACTTCTCTGTCCAGCATCAAAGTCTGTATAATCAGGACCTATGCAGTATTTCCTATTTCTCTCCAATGAAAG